CAGACAACCTCTCGTCAATATGCGTTTTTCGCATTGCATTGCTGCAAAAAACGCATAAAAACGCGTGGTCGTAACGGCAAGCCTGGGTGCAACGATACCTGAGCTGCAATTCCCACCTGCTGATTCTGTTTGCTGTTAAAGCATTGGCTGGATTTGAGGTACGCACCATTTTTGTCCCGTCTAAAATTGTTTAAGGCAGTCAAAAAAAAAAATCCCCTTTTTTTCCACAGAAAAAATGAACTGACAATTTTTGCACAGCCAAAAATATTGCTTTATATTCATGCTTCGAAATATCACAAAATCTACTTCTTTGCTTGCGTATTTTTTATAGTAGGTCTAATTTCGGGAGAAAATCTAAAGAATGTTTCGTTAAGTGTCAAGTTTTTAAAAAGCACTGGACTCTTGTATCTCTGACAAATTGAAAGTCTGCTTTATTACAAGTACAAAACATATAACTTATAAGCTAATAAATGAGTGATTAGATGAGTGAAAGAACAAATAAACGAGAGAATAAGTGAGAGAATTTTTCAAAAACACAGAAAGTCTGAAGGAAAAATCGCTTTCTGCCGCAGACTATGCTGGCAGCTCCTGGGAAAATGAGAATACAATTTTTCGAAGGCGCAACCGTTTCAGAAATAGCCAAACATATATGAAAAAGTAAAGAATAAATTATTCATTATAGACCCTGTCTTTAAAGAATTTACAGTTATTACTGCGGGTGAGCAACCCCACGGCTGATATAACATATATGGAAACAACTGTCTCATTCCATCGTAATAATTTCACACATCCATCCATCCGATCTTCTACAAACATTTCTACTCATCTTACATAACCTACCTTGCCAAAGTTTCACAGGCCACACCAAAGCTGCGAAGACCGATGTTTCAAAATAAGTATTATTAGCTAACATGCTTCATTTAAGCAGATGCTTTTGCGCAGTTTCTGTTGCCATTTTACCAGTCGCTTGACCATACAATATCTATCGGTCCCACGAGGTACAAAGCTTAATATATTTCCCTCCCCTCGAGCATAAATTTGGAAGTGTAGAAGGAACAGCGGGAAAGGAATTTTTTGGCTTGGAATTTACTCGTAGAAGAGCTGGATGATTTTCAAAGACTACCTCTAGACGGAAATTGTTTGTTTCCGTTTATACAAAATTTTCGATTGTTTACGGTATTGAACGCACAAGGTAAGTTCGAAGCAACAATCATTTATGCAGTTAACTTAATTACTTCAAGTTTGGTGCAAAAACGCATGATCGCACCGGTAAGGTTGGTGCTTTCCAACTTGGTTTCTTAGCTTGCTGTGAGCGAAGATTGCCGCAAAATCCCACCCTCCATGTCGCTGTTTTGGAAGGCTGAATTATCTGTACAAAGCGGTAAGGCTTCATCAAAAGGCGTTTTCACAACTAACAAATATACATGAAAAAGAATTTGCGTTTGGAGTAGTTCATTTTATGGTTGGTAATTGTTTGGAACGAGAGGCAGAGTACTACTATTACCGGCCTGATGAAGAGACATAGGATTTAGGATTGAATAGTGTGGTGGCAAATCCTCTTCCATAAGCCGCAACTTTGATTTGAGCCGCTGTCGTTCCAAAATACATGCATTACGCTCGTTCTCTTCTTGCTCGCGATCAGCGATTCCTGAATCCAATGAATCGGTCAATGATATGAATCCTCAAATATTTCGATTATCTTACAATCAATCAAAGAGTAAATCAGTAAGATAAGCACGGCTTTATTCTCGATCCGAGAATATTTGAGTTAGTTTTGTGTCGCATGCCCAGTGGGGCGCAAGAATAGCCTTCTAAACCTCTTTTGCTAATGTCAGTCTCTCAATTAACTTTCGAAATTAATTTAACGGACCACGATTCAGTTTTGTTTAAGCCTGATTTTCTGATTCCCGATCAAAATGAAGAAGGTATAGGCACTGGTTGCGCCTGTCTGTCACAGTTCAGAGTTGTGTGTGGTCTAGTCAGTCAAAAAATTCTATCTCATCCTACGGTTACTTTCTAGGCAAGCATGACTTCTGCATCAAAAACAAGTTCAATCAGACCAACACGGTCTGAATTACTGACTAAGAAATAGAACAGCGAAAGAGTTACCACCGCTAATAGTTGCGCAGCCGCTAAAAATGCTTTTATGAATGGAGAAGAGAAAGGAGAGAAGGTGCGTTCATTTGTCTTTGCACTGTTTCGTGCAGAAGCGAGATTGCAAAGAATCACATTAGCTAAAATTTGCAACATATTGGCCCTCGAACTTCCGGACATTAATTGTGCAGCTATGTGTTGTGTCAGTTGTAGATGTCGGCTTCAGTGACCCAAAAAAGCCCCACTAGAAGAGATGAATTTGAAATCTTCTAGTAACACTGAGTAGCGGACATTCCCTTAAAATTGCAGCGTTCCAACTTTTCTCGATCCCAAGTTAGCAATTTTCCCGACAGAATTTTTACATACTCGTATGTGAATCCTGGGCGGTTCTAAGGAGCTGAATTTGAAGTCCTTTGGTCGTGCAGGAGTATTGAGCATTCCTCTAAAGTTTCAGTCTTTCATCTCTTCTCCACGATTTAACAATTTCCCCGCTAAAATCTTTATGTGGTCGTACGTGACCCCGAGCAGTCCTAATCAGCTAAATTTGAAATTTTTTAGTAACACACTGGTAGAGAACGTTCCCGTAAAGTTTCAGCCTTCCAGTTTTTCTCGTTCCCAAGTTAACGATTTAACCGCCAAAATTTTTACGCGTTCGCACGCGAGGCCCAGACGTACGTGGAGGTCGTTACCACGGTCGTGGGGTGGCCCTTGGCCGAAGAATCAACTGGAAAAATTTTGGCGCTGGAGCTTGCTTGGTTGCCAAGTTGAAATTCACAGACAGATGAACACACACACACACACACACACGCACGCGCACACACACACACACTGACAAGGTCGTTGCAATATGCGTTTTTGCAACTTGCATATGAATAAAAAAGCATAGTTTTTGCAGTCTGCATACAAGCAAAAACGCATAAAAAATGGTAAATGAGTGCAACATTCTGTCAAAGTGGTAAAAACATTGGTCGACCAGCAAGTGGCACACATCCATCTATGAACGCGTATTTTCTAAAGCTGTGATAGCTGCTAAATGTTTAGTTGGACTAGGTAGCAAAAAATGGCACAGAAATGTTAAATTTAGCGCTAAAAATTGCAAATCGCAAAATGGTGAGGATATAAGCACAGAAACATGGATCATTCGGTTTTGAGTAACAAGTGTAAAATTTTGGCGGAAGCCAGCTGCGCTACTGGCATGAACAAATATTTAGCCGACATACATTTTCATATACTTGCCTTGCATACAGATCTCACTATGTTGAAAACAAAAAAAGTCTGTGGCGGTGTTGCAGGGGCAAGGGTTGCGATAGTCGTTGCAAGTAGGAGGAGTATTTTGGAGAATGAGGAATTCCCTTAATTAAATTCGCAATTGGCTGCTCTGCTTCATTTTCCTCATTTCATGGTTTTCAGTGTTATTTTTTACAAAACTTGCTGCGAGGAATTTCCAGTAAAAACCAACTTTTTGTTTCAGGCATGAATAGTTGTTCTTTATTCACTGCATTTTTTAGCGCATTTTTCTTCATTTCGCTTCCAGCCAGTGATTTTGTCATGCGGATACTATTGAAAGGCTGCAGTCTCAATTCCAACAGATCAGGTTCAGCGATTTGCGAATTATCAAAATGCTTCCCCGTGCAATAATATGGATTTTTTAGAATGCAGATATTTAGCAGGATCAGGATTATCAACACCATCAAACAAATGATTATTGCGAGTAGTTGCCGCGTTGATAATGTCCCAGCAGATTCTTTTGCTGGAAAATCATTGCTTTAATTAGTTAAGGAATATGAAGCTTCAAAGAGTTTCTAAAATATGAAAATTTATGCGAATATTATTTGTCAGAAACTAACAATGTATTGTCCGCAATATAACACACTTTTCTATCATCGAAGGAGTTTGCTTATTTTCCGGTGTCAGTGCAATTTTCCTCATGCAAAATCCATCACAGGACTAGTTGCTCACACGTCTGGCACATAAGTAGTGCTGCTTTCAGAATCAAGTCAATGCTTCCGTTTTGCCACCACGAAAAGTTATCCCAACTTTGATTCATTGATTGTTTTGATATTAAATTGTTGCAGACGCATGCCATGAGCTTAGTAATATTGTCATACTACATCTTAGAAACTTTCAGGAAAGGACGTCATCAACAGCTTCCCAACTAAGGTAGCTATTTTTGACAAACAGTGCTCGCCGGCAAGCACGGTACTTGGCCTGGTCACTCTTTTGCAATTGAATATGCCAACCGAGAAACAAAATTCCTACTTTTATCAGTTATTTTTGAAAATTTTTGAGACTTATTCGAGAATTTAAAAACACTGCTTTTGCTCTTTTCACTTGCAACAATTGCACAAAATCCATATTGTGTTGGCGCGTGCGTGTATTCCGAGTGCGGTTTTTCAAGTTTCAAAAAACACTTACAAGTAGTTTTGTGGAACAACTCAGTATTCCATGTAAGTTGCTGGTCGCCATCATGCTCACTGATTTCTTTTACCGCTACTAGAATCTGACTTGCAGTAAGCCGATTGCGTATACGATGTTTTAGATAATCTCTTATCATAGTGATATCCGACAAAAATTGTAGCGAAATCTTAAAATGATTATGGGTTTCAGTAAATGCACCAAAAACCAGTGACGAAAAGAATATAACAATGCCGTGCTGCCAGCTGCAGCGCGAACATGGACTATGCTAAATGCGAATTCTAGCGCTCGAAAAATCATTTTTCTATATCAAAATTTTCGAAGCGAAATTGGTATTAGCATAGCTGGTAATGCTGAAACATCAAAACACTTTCCACGCGCACCTCAAACAGTTCTTTAAAACAAAGACCACAGAAGCCTTCCTTACAAGTGGTTGAGCAACTGCGTAAATAGCGGTATTTATTCGAGTATAAAATGCAAAACCAGGCAAGCTCAGGGACATCTTCACCAAACCCCTCGAGAAGCAACGTCGATAAAATTTTGCATTTTCATATTTTTTTAGAATGCTAAATGATATCGATAATTTAAAGCACATAAATTTTGGTTAATTAATTAGTATTTAACGTAAACGTTAAATGACAGCTCTTCGCTTTTACTTGTGTAAATAAAGCATTAAGTTTATGACTGGCTGCAGTCCACAATGGTGCCGGAAAATTTCGCTCAGCTGGCCGTCTTTAGGACTTCTGAGAATATTTTCGAAGCGTTTATAAATTTTTATGCGTTTTTTTTGCATCTATGTAATGCACAAAACGCACAATGACGAAGAGCTGTCTATGTGTATGTGTCCGTGTGTGCGCTGGGCCTCTGTACCGATTTTTCATCTTGAGATCTACAAAAGTTACAGGGCTGAAACTTTGGGAACTTAATCTACATGCATGTACGGGCCCCCATCCCCAAAATGAGCGATCTCACCCGCGTGGTGCCCACGCACAGGCCCGCAAAAGTTTTTCAGGTAAGCTGCTAACTCGGGAACCTGGGAAGCTAGAGGACTGGAATTTTAAGGGGATTTTCCCCATCCAAGTATGTGTTAATCAGCTCAGAACCAGACACAAAGTATGCTTGGTACCTACGTACGAGCCCGTGAAAGTCTCTTGCGGGTAAGTTACTAACTCGGAAACCAGGAAAGTTATAAAGCTGAAATTTTAAACGGATGCTTCCTGAGAGTTGTGGCGATCAATCTCAATTTGTTTAGCTAGAAGCATTTGCCGGAAAAACCGGTGCCGGTAGCAACAAAAACTGCGGGGAAC